CCCTTTTAAAGATTGGTACTATGGAAACCGTGTCTGTTGAGTTCAAAGGCAAAGGCTTCTATTCCCCGTATTAGTATTTTTCTAAAGTCCTTAAAAGAAAGTGAGGGCCTTTGTCTTATCTCTATTATAAAAAGCTAAACAAATTAATTAAGAATTAAGTTTTACATAGTTTCTCTGTCAAATATTCCTTCCATTATTTCACAGCACCGGTTTAATGTGCTCTATCTCAGATGTTTATTTTCATATTTCTATAAGAAAAAGACTCAGGAAACTTCCAAAGTTCCAGTTCAGCAACAAGCATTTCCAATACAAGGTATTGACATTTTGCATTTTCCAAAGCCCCACAGTATTTATCTGTGGTGGCTCCTCACTTAAGAAGACAAAGTTTTCAAGCCTGTCTGCACTTTGCCAACTGGCTGGCTAAGCCAAAATTATTCTAAATGGCTCAAGATCTCTTGCAATCTGCCTGTTTTAGAGGTTGATCAAATGCAGAGAAAGTGCTGTTGGAGCCTAGTCAAAGTCTGACTTTCACAAAGCAACTCTGGATTTCTCAAAGGGACTAGCATTGCTGCTGCTTGACACATTTGAAGAGTTAAAGACAGTGCAGCTAATTACGGAGCAACTAGTGAACCAGCCAGATTTTACCTCATGGTGCCGAGTGTCATGGTGCCATGAATACTCTTAACTCCCTGAGCAAGATTATGAATGACAACTCTCCAGAAGGGGAATCTTACACAGTTTGAATGGGATTCTCTGTTTAATTAGAGGCTTGTTCAACACCCCTCTTTGGCTCTGATGCTACTTTCTAGGTTTCTGCAATGAGTGGTTTCAAAGACAGTCTTGGAAGGAAAAATTGACATTATTCACCCACTAACTTACATTCGTAGAAAGTGTTACCTCAGCAGATCCTCACTAACCTTGCCTCCTTCTCTCTTGCAAAAAATTTTCAAAATAAGCCTACTGATGTGAGAAACAAGAAAAATGGGATTTTTAAAGGAGTGTTGAGAGTAAACCACTGTAGTTTATTGAAATGTATTTAAAAGTGGCTCTGTTAGAAGGACAGGCCTATATTTGGCACACATTGGGGGGTCAGGTGGTGAGAGATGGATCTACATTTCAATAGAATTTGGAAGTAGAAATCCTGGGACACATTTATTTCCTCACTGCATGATCCTAACGTATTATTAACCTCTATCCTTTTTGTAAGATCCTGGGAGAGTTGCTGGTTGGGAAGGGAGGTTGTGTGCAAGGGGATCTCTTTATATAAACTCATTCACAGAATGAAGTTTGAGCATGATTGATCTAGTCCGTAAAGCTGGATGCAAAGTGAAACTGCCTAATATCTCTGGACCACTCTGAAGCTGGTTTCAGACATGTAGCACTCTTGTGCCTGAGCTTTGTACTGCTCCTTAACTGCTGCTCGCATTGGTGGTTCCAAAGCAATCTGCTGCCCCAAGGCATGTCCCAGACAGGCAGCAGACTATCTGGCAGTGTGGTGGCAGGAAGCCAAGAATGCATGGTGAATTGGCCAGGCATAAGTGCTTTGGAAGAACTGCCATGTGGAAACTTGTTCATAATCAACTCCACTTGTTAGAGAGCTTTGAATCTTCCCTATTCACTCTCTATGAATTAGTTATTTATAATTATTTATCTTGGTGTTTCATTGGAGGATGGGCAGCTCTTTAATCTTCCTGCCTGCATTTTACCAATGGCTAGAAATTCCCTGCTTAACACTGAGCTTCTACAAAATGCCACTGATTTCTTTTTGTCCTGTCATCACTGAAGAGGTCTGCTGCATGGCAGGACTTAATTCTGATAAGTAGAGTCTCCCACATCAGCTCTCCAGTCACTTACACCTTCCGTGGACAGGACAGAGTTGGATTTCCATTCAGAACTCCTGACATTTCAAAATATCCGGGATGGGGTAGGGGCTACCATCGTGGCACCTTTAAAGGAACAAGTCAACTTGTCACACTTTTCTGTGTAAATATTTTGTTTACTATTATTATGAGTACTGTCTGAGATTATTGTAACTGAAAAATGAGATGTGCCTTTCTCTCCCAACCCTCCTTTTTTGGTTTACGTGTGAAACTGCTTCTTTACCAAGTGCTGTCAAAAGCACAGTTTCCCTTGTTTAGTCATATGGTTTCCCGTTTCATTCATAGATTCCAAGTCTGGAAGGGACCACTGTGATCATCATGTCTGACCACCTGTATAACACAGGCCAGAGAACTTCCCCAAAATAATTCCTAGAGCAGAGCTTTTAGAAAAACATCCAATCTTGATTTTAAAATGGTGATGGAGAATGTACCACAATCTTCGGTAAATTGTTTCAATGGTTAATTACCATTGCGATCAAAACATTACACCTTATTTCCAGTCTGAATTTGTCTAGCTTCAACTTCCAACCATTGGATTGTGTTACATCTTTCTCCGCTTATACTGAAGAGCCCATTATAAGTAACTACAAGGGGAACAAATATTTACTAGACTGTAATCAAATCACCCCTTAACTTTCTCTTTGTTAAGCTAAATAGATTGAGCTCTTTGATTCATTACTATAGGGCAGTTTTTTTAATCCTTTATCATGACTCTTCTCTGAACCCTGTCCAATTTATCAACATCCTTCTTGAATTGTGGGCACCAGAACTGCACACAGTATTCCAGCAGCAGTTGCACCAGTGTCAGATACAGAGATAAAAATTGGTAAGGCAACTCCCATCTTTTCATGTGCTGTATATTTATACCTGCTTACTGTATTTTCACTCCATGCATCTGATGAAATGGATTATAGCCCATGAAAGCTTATGCCCATATAAATTTGTTAGTCTCTAAGGTGCCACAAGGACTCCTTGTTGTTTTTAGAGATAAAATAATCTCTCGCCCACTTGAGAATTCCCTTTTTATGCATCCCAGGATCACATTAGCTCTTTTGGCCACGGTGTCATTGGGAGCTCACGTTCAGCTGATTATCCACCATTACCCCAAATTTCTTTCAGACTCATTGCTTCCCAGCATAAAGTCCTCCGTCCTGTAAGTATGGCCTATGTTCCTCACTGTATACAGTTACATGTAGCTGTATTAAAATGCATATTGTTTGCTTGCACCCAGTTTACCAAGAAATCCTGATTGCTCTGAGTCAATGACTTGTCCTCTTCATTTATTTACTACTCCCCCAGTTTTTGTCATCTGCAAACTTTATCAGTGATGGTGTTATTTTCTTCCTGTTGTTTGTGTGGGTCTTTCACACAGACATGGAAGAGAGAGAAACAATAAAAAATAGATATAGGTGATTGTAAATCCACACACATTGGTTTGGGGGCTCAGAAGCAGGTGTGGATCTTAAATCTACATTTTAATTTTGACTAGGTTTTAGATCAGTGGTCCCCAAACTGTGGAGGGTGCCCACTGTAGGGGGATGTGGAGAAACGTTCGGGGGGGTATGGCAGAACCTGGGTCAGCCCCCCCCGGGGTCGGGGAGGAAGTGCCACCCAGCCCCACTCCCAACTGAGGTCTAGCTGCAGCACCAGCCCTGTTCCTGACTGCAGCCCCTGGCCCTGGCTCCTGACTGTGGCTCCAGGTGTGGGGGCAGGATTTGGACAAAAAAATGTGGGGAACCACTGTTTTAGATTGTGGAAATATCCCTTTAAAACCCATCACCTGTCAAACACTGCAAACTGCACAGAATATGGAAACAAGGGATTAAGATGGAGACCGGAGCTCTAATTTGCTGTCTGGTAGCACAGAGATCTACCTGCAAATCACTGCTGGGGCATTTTTCCCTAATTGATTTTTCAGAGGTTGCACTTGTGAAGCATTAGCAGTGAACGCATTGTGAGCTGGATTTACTATTGCCCTGTTAGTGCAAAGTGGGTATAAAGTGCTACTAATCAGAATGGCAGCATTTTACATCTGCTTTACACTTGAGTAAATGACTACACAAAGTACAGGGCAACAGTGAATTGGGCTCTATGGTGGCACTGGAAGTGGGTTGGGGAACATTGGTGCGAGGGGATGTATGGGGGTGGAATGGGAATTGGAGGAGGTTACAATGACACCTGAGTGTTGAGACTTCTAATTTTGGGTCCTGGAATAGGCTGTCTGCAGATGTTTAATGAGCACTGAAGTAGAAGTAACATGGCTGCTCTCTAATAGCCCTGTCCATTCCTGTCTCCTCCAGATCAGAGGAATCTGGGCATGTCCATGAGGGTGGAGCGCTCCACACTAGATCAAGTGAAGAAACGCTTTGAAGTGAACAAGAAGAAAATGGAGGAGAAACAAAAGGATTATGACTTTGAGGAGAGGATGAAGGAGCTCAGAGAGGAGGTGAGGCAATGGTAGCATTGCAACAATTCATTAATTGAAGGAAGCCACCATGTGTCTAACTATCAAACAAAAATGTGCAAAGAATGTTGGCAGCAAGTGCTCCCAGTACACCAGGATCTCTGCTGGGTTAAAAGAAGGTCTTCTCTTCTGTCTCCCCAAAAAGTCCTTTCTCTGAATTGTGACAGCAGTTGTTTTCAGACAAAACTGTCATCTTCATGTTCTCAGGCATAGTGACACTGATCAGAATATGTAACATTCAGTATATCAACTCCCATAAACTAAATGTGATCTCAGGGCTCAGAAAGTGGTAATTAAAGCTGACTTTTCATATATTTCCTTGTAGTGCTGCCATAGTTTCTGGTGCTGAGGTAGAAGAGGATCTTCTCCTATGTTGTACTGCATCTGTGCCACCCCCATGGATGCCAGAGCTTTAGGAAGCTTGATATGTGGACACAGGAACTCTGTTAAAATCAAATGCCCCATGTCACTTCCCTCCCTCCCTCTTGAAAATGTTTTTAAAAGGCAAAAGCAAAGCCCTGTAATGAAGATTTGCCTCGAATTTCATTTCAAAATAACCAGTTGAAAAGCATCTTGTATGTCCCTGAGCTCTTTGATGCTTTTATTTCCTATGAATGGTCATTACAAAAAAAAAATGCTCCTGGTACATAAGGCTCCCCTGCCACCTTGGTTTCCAGATTCTCTGAGCTTTATTCTACAGCATCCACAGGGCCACCAATGCAATCCTAAAACACTACCTCCAACTGTACTGGCTTGGTTGGGACAAAACTGGTCAACTGCAGGTTTTGTTGCTGATGAACCCAAGGAATTTTTATTAATCTATTTAGGGAAATACAAATGCAGAGACATATTAGGGGTGCAGGAAACTCCTTGGGATGAAAGACTACTGGAAATCTACATATTCTAAAAAATAAACCGTAGTATGTGACACCAATAAGCTGCTAAGTGTGGCTGTCTTAGACTAAATCACCTGTGTTGGAGTTACAAAGCGATAGACGTGCAGGTGGTGATGGAAACACTGAGAGACCTTGAGCTCCAGCACCAACAGGAACTGCTGCTGAGTAGGGAGCTGAAGTCACACTTCTGTATACCCCCAGCAGAAGTCTGGCGCCGTTCCAGGGCCTGTGATCTTCATAGAATGAAACATTCTGATTAGAGCAATGAAAACTCTTTGAAGCCAAACTCCCTCCCCACCCCAGGCAACTTAGAACTCAGCTTATGTTCCACTGAGCAGCTGTCACTCTGCTGCACCAAAAGCCATCAGACAGTGACATTGTCTGTCTGTAGCCATCATTCGGCACCACAGTTGTTGGAACAGGGCATCAGTACAAGAGAAATGTCTTCTGTTTTAAAAACAACTCTCCTTTTGCCTTGTTGAATTTCTGATTGTCTTTGGCATTTGTTTAACAGGGGAAGCTGAGAATCACACAACACTATTGCAGTATAATCCTCTTAGGTGTAATTTACCTGTTAGGATCACTTCCCTGTGGGAAGCCACTCTCCTCCAAGTCCACCATTTTCCTTCCATCCATTGTCTGTTCTTCAGACAGAAAAGAATCCTGTCTCCCTATGTTGGGGATAGAAATTAGGCTGACTGATAAGTGTCCAGACCTTCTATCTTAAAGGGCTTGCGGTATAAGAAAGTTAGAATCACACTGCATTTCTTTCCTTGTACTGCAGGAGGAAAAGGCCAAAGCCTATAAGAAGGAAAAACAGAGAGAGAAGAAGAGAAGGGCAGAGGAAGACTTGACATTTGAAGAGGATGATGAAATGGCAGCTGTGATGGGTTTCTCTGGCTTTGGCTCTACCAAGAAGACTCACTGATCAGCTCTGGACTTTACCCTTTCTTGATAAAGATTGTTTATACCCCCAGGACTCTGGAAAACTCTTTAAAGACTTGACAGAGAATTTGTATGTAATTCTCCCACTAGATGTTGGCTGGAGGAGTTGGGAAGCAATTCCACGCTCAACCTGTGCTGCAGAACAAGCTCTGTCCCCAGTCATTAGTGCCCTACTGCCTACAGAGATACCATAACCTTAGCCTAGCTGGCAAACCTCTAAATTCCAAATGAAGAGACCTTTCAATTAGCCTCTTCTCCACAAACTCCCCCCGTCCCATCCTGCAGTAAATTCTGTGGAGTTCTCATGGTTTCTGTCTCTGATTCTTTTCATCTTTTGTGAGGAGTCTGCAAGCTGAACGTTTCTTCTGGAAACCTCATTGGCCTTTAGCCACCTCATCCTTTGTACTAGTCCTGGCTGCTTGTCACTCTGTGTTCTGTGGCCGTGTGTGTGTGCGCGGGGAAACATTCTGTTGGGTACCTTTTAGTGTTAAACTAATAAAATTCTGTACAGATGGTATGGTTCAGGAATTGCTTGTCCAGCTGAGAAATGGGTACACTTTTTGTTTGCTTAAAATACAGAGAATTCTTTACATTTTTTTAGATGTGTATCAAAAGGAATTACACTGTAATGAGTGTTAAATATGGATAGTATAGGTTGAATTTTTATTTCTTTTGTTGAGAAGAGCTTGAGACTTTTTGGACACTGCGTTTGCTGAAACTTCTTTTTGTATTTTATCTGCAATGGACTATCTCTATTTTATTTTCACTGTTTTCCTTGTGTTCAGTGGTGTAATCAGAATTTCTTTAGCGTAGGTAAGAAATATCTTTCTGAGATTTACCTAGGATAGAGCTAAAGGGAAAACAGCAGAGAAATATGTGGAATTTGCCTAAAATAAATAATTTTTTGGAAACTATCAGATTGTTTTGTAGGGAATCTTGTTTTATTCTCTTTAAGTGAGGACTTGAGAACAGAACAGGTAATGGCTTTCGAAGTGTGTGTGTGTGTGTTTGGTGTGTGGGTTTTCTTTTGTGTGGGGGGGGAAGGGGCGGGAGAGGAATTGTTGGGTAGGAAATCCCAGACTGGAGTTTCTTGCCTCAGCTATAATAAATTGACTCTAGTATTTAATGGCTATTGTAGTATGTCCCTAAATATTTCTTATCTTATTTGGGGCTTTTTCTTTCTCATCTTGCATCTGGTTGGGGACCTGCTTTCTGAGCCACTTCAGGTCTCCTATTCCCCAAATCCTTTTCATTGCTCCTTTTATTTACTTCAATCCAACCCTCTGTGACTCATCTGCTTTTTCCAGTTAGGAGGATTTACATCTCATGTCGCTGATTTTCATAGTGCCATCCTTTTTATATTGATGGGATCATTGTTCTTGCCGCTCTCTGTACCTTTGTGAAATCTCAGACTCAAGGAAGGGCTGCAGTGTATTTAGCCTTCTCTTTCTAATACACACAGAATAAATCCTGTAATGCTTTTCTGCTCTTTTTAATTCCTTAATTTTAGACTGCTGACAGCTTCATTGCCTCAGATATTTCCACTTCAATTCAGATTATAATCCCCATTGAAGATGCTATTGAAATGATATACAGCCAGTAGCATTGCCAGCTGAGATACAACTGTCCTTGGTGATTTGACCCTTGAAACTCAAAAATCCTTTTACTGTGGCTCAGGAATGTCCTCAGTGCACAAAAGTGGAAAAATGAATTTCATTCCAGCCACGTACCTGTCCCTGTTCAAATCAAAGCACAAAACTACATTTAAATGAGTGAGAGAAAGGAAGCTTGTGATTGTACCCTCTGTGCCTGTTGGGTGGGGGAGAAGGGATTATGCTGCCATGTAGCTGTTTCATGCACATTAGAAGTTTAGAATGTTTTAGATGAGATTTCTACACCAGCCATTTTACCCTGGGTAATGGCTTTGCAGCCAGCTAAAGCCCTTCAATCTTTTGCTCAGACACATTTGCAAACCGCTCATGACTGCAGACTGAACTAATTAAGTTTGGTTTGTACTGATGAAAAGCAGCATGGTCCAGTGGACCATGGATAGAAGTGGGCACCAGGGCAGACCTCCTGTGTCCCTGTTGCTGGCTCTGTTCTTGATTTGCTGTATGACCTTGAGGAAAAGTAACTTCACAGGTAGGTGCCTCCATTTCCCTTTATGTAAAATGAGCACATGCTGCTATGGGGATTAACTAATTAATGTCTGCATAGTGATTGTTGTAGATTCCCTGCCTCCAAGACACACAGCCCTCGCTCATTGGAGCAGGCAAAGAGGGTGGCATAATCTCTGAAGGAATAGTTGGCAGTGCAATGGGGCAGGGTTGTGGCCATGCTCCGGTTAGTCCAAATAAAGACATTACGTCACCCAGCTTGTCTCTCAGGTTAGCACAAGACACCTGAGGTCTAGGTGAGTTCTTGACTCAGTTTGGTAGCACTTGCAGACGTGGCCTGTAAAGGATTATCAGACCAGGGATGTTACTTTAGCAGACAGTGGGAGAACTGACCCCTAGTGTCACCGTACCTGGCTATCTTTGGGTGTGTGCATCCTACTTCACTAGCAGGGATGGATACAGCTCTGTCTCCCAGCTGCCCTGGAGAAGGGGGAAATCCCTTGGCAGAATAGTTGGGGGAGGGGAGGAGCTGTTTTTCATTTGCATGATTTCTTCCCCCTTCTGCATTAAAAGCCTTTTACCTAAACCGAAGCCTGAGGCCATCTCCCTCTGCTGGGCCTAAGCTTCCGCCTACACATGGCAGTATCTCTGCCTGCTTCCTCAGTCCTGGCGCTGGGGCTATGCTCTCAGGGGGAGGGCTCTTTGTCTTGGTTACGTGCTGGGGGCAGTGGAGTGTGCAGTGGCAGAGATATAGGCTCGTGCTGGATTCCCAGCAGCAGGAGCTGCCTCCAGCCAAGGATGAAAAGCCAGTTTCATGGGAGGAAATAATATTTAGAAAAAAAAAAAAAAAAAAAAGAGATAATAATCCCCTGCACTGAGCATTAACCCTCTCCTCTCCTGCCTGCCTGGCACTGAGCATTACCCCTTCATTTTCCTCCCTCCAATCCCCCTGCACTGAGCATTAACCCTTTACTCCTCTCTCTCTACCCCCACTCTGAGTATTAAACCCTGCCCCTGTTGGGGTGATACTCCCATGGAGGGGGAGGGAGTGGGACACAGCCTTCCTACGAGGCAGAAAATACAGTCTCCAAGGTTTAGATCTAGCACAGGACTGGACATGCTCCCTCCCCCCATAGCCATGCACAATGCCTGCTCGCTTCTTGCAATGCTGGGGGCGATGGCTGTTCCTCACTCTTCCCCAAGCCTTTGTGCCACACTAACTCCCCCCCAAGGAAGCTGGAAGATATGGAGCTGGGGGGGAGGCCCCCTACTATCACTGCCCACCCTACTCCCAGGGCTTGGGGTGCTTTTCAGTGGAACTCTCACCAGCTTGGACTTGGACATGGGGGTAGGGGACAGGGTTCACAGCCCCCTCTCCTGCCCTCTCCACTGCACCCCACCCCACCCCAAATTTGCATGTATTTTTCCTTGAGCAGGCTGGGTGCTTCTCTTCACCAACTCCTATAGCTTCCCCAGGCACCTCTTGCTTCCCAGCTGGCTCTAACCAGCCATTACTTCATAAATGCTCTGGCTGAGCGAACTTTGCTGGGATTTCAAGTCCTGTGGGCGCTGCCCTGGCTTTCACCTCCCAGGAGACCATTGGGAGCCCTGAATTGGAGTAACCACCTCAGAGGAGCTGGTCAGGGCCAGGGATTGACCCCGGAAGCATGAGGAAGACTGGAATTTGCACCTGTAGAGTAACATTGTAGCTGGGTTGGTCCCAAGATATTAGAGAGACAAGGAGGGTGGGTGAGCCAGACCTGAAGAGCTCTGCGTAAGCTCAGAAGCTTGTCTCACCAACAGAAGTTAGGCCACAACTTGTCTCAGCTCTATAGTAAAATACACACTGGGAGCGGCTGGAGCCCTGGCCAAAGCGGAACTGTATTGAAGGGAGGGGTGCTGTGCTAGGCAGGGACAATGACCAATTACCCCCCTTTCAAATACCCCCTCAATCTACTGTGATTTGTGCCAGCCTCAGTCCTGTAGCCCTTGCTCAGGCAGAGCTACCGCTAGCTTTGCTCAAGAAAGAACTCAGGGCTTCAGGATGTGGCCAGCTGTAGGGGATTCTCTTACTGTTTAATGCAATGAAATATTTATAGGAGCACTTGGAAAAGCGCATAGGCTTTTATGTCAGCCTATGAAAAAACTCAGCTTTCACTCTCTCTCCAGTTCATCTATCCCAGCAATTATTCTGGCCTCATAACCATGATAGCTGGGTGCCTTACAGAATTACATAGATCTGCCCTGTGGCCTTATCACTGCTGATGCTCTCCACACAGTTCTCCCCACGAGAGGGCAGAGTGGATATCATTATTAATATTGCTGCTGTGAGAAAGCTCAGGCGACGAGAAGCCCTACAAAACACTTGACAAGGGTGAGACAGCTGCTGTGCTGGCTGCTTATTACACTAATCAAAATAGCCTCGCTCTTACCTTGTGCTTCCACATCTCTGTTGTAACCACCTCGTGTGTCTAATGTTCTAGACAGACAGTAATTTCTTTGGGGCAGGGACTTTCTTTGTGTTATATGTGTGTACAGCACCTAGTGCATATAGGGCCCTGATTAGGCCCGTGGGTGCTACTACAATACAAATAATAACCATAATTCATGTGTTTTGCCCTGCAGGAGGTGAGAGTTGTGGTCATTATGACTTCTTGGGCAGGGGAATTCCATAAGCTGGAACCATGGCCCAGCTTTGCAAAGGTATTTAGGTGCCAGAGGTGGTGCTAGCCCATTGGGATCCTAAGCAGGAATATTTTTGGTCCCCTCTACACAAACTAAAAAAGAGAATAGGGGGCCCTCTTGAGCTGTTCAGGGCCCTAAACAATTACTTCGTCTGCTTATACCTAATGCCGGCTTCGTTTGGTGCCTAGCTCCCATGGGAGTTAGGTGCCTAAATCCCTTTGTGGATCTGGGCCTGTGTCGCTCAATGGCTCCTAACCTCTCTTGCCTTTGATCAAAGTCACCAAAACCCTTTCTTTGTGTTATATGTGTGTTCAGCACCTAGTGCATATAGGGCCCGGATTAGTAGGGCTGGCTCCAGGCACCAGACAAGAAAGCACGTGCCTGGGGTGGCACATTGTAAGGGGTGGCATTCTGGGCAATTTGGGGGTGGCCAGCCCAGCCCTGCAGGGGCATGAACTAGTGATCCCCGCTGCTCACCGTGCCGCTGGGCTCCCCAGGACGTGCCACTCCCCACCACCTGCACCAGCCTCCGCCTCCCGCGCCGCTCTGAGCCTGGCCCGGCCGAGCTGCCTTTAAAGGAGCGGCTGAGGCACCTCCTGCAGCCCCCGGGGGCTCCACCTGCCTGGCTGGGAGAGGCACCCCAAGGCTGGAGGGCTGCCCACGGGCAGAGGGAGCGGGCGGGTGCTGCCCTTCAGTCCCCTGTAAGCCGCCTTGACCACCCTCCACGTGCTCCCTGCGGCTGCCATTTTTTTGTTTTTTGTTTTTTGTTTTGCTTGGGGCAGCAAAAAAACTAGAGCTGGCCCTGCTGATTAGGCCAAACCCCCACTGCCCTTGAGCCTGCAGAATACCCAGGCGAATACACCTCAAGCTTTACTTGGCAATTTTGGTATTAAAAGACAAGATTTTAGTATTTCACACCTGTTTAACACCTACTGACTCAGTGTTTAACTACTTGGCACTAGCTACATTCCTTCCCATTAGAACATATGCTAATCCTGTCCCAATTAAGCAACAGCTATTCACTATCACGCTGAATCGCTTTCATGGGAGACATCCTGATAAAACAGCCATCCTGATTTACTTTGTCCCACTAACGGCACATATAGAGTCTA